TTGATGACTTTTGGATGGAATTAACCTGCATTTGCGTTACATGGAGAGGAAAACCACGAAAACCTCCCACGGTTAGCTTGATGGTAAGGAGAACTCTAACTCATGATCCAACTACCTATTACGTCAGCGCTGGGGTCGGTGCAAGTCGGGTGCAGAATTCTATTTGAAAACCGTCGGAGGGATTCCAACCCCGGCCTCCTCATCGGAAAACGCTCTTTTTCCTTAATATGCTATTTCATACGAAACTCTACTTTAAGAGTCAATAAAAAGAAATCGTAACTTCTCATTAAAAATCTAAATCTCACATCAAAATTACTTCTTGCTTGGATTTTAGAGACACTCTGCAGTTGGTGAAAAAAAAAACTTGGCTACAAAACTGTTTGAAGTAATAAGTGCAGTGAAACAAATGAACTTCACATCTATTTGGATCTTGCTCCAAGAAATCCAAAGACATTTGCTATTGAAAGGAAATTAAAATATTAATAATTCTGCAGAGTGATTTCATTTCGAGGTTCGCTTCTTACACATCAAGGTGGGAATTCAATCTGCAGCAGGCTTGTCCTCAGAATATTACACATTATTTCGATATTTTGAGCACTCGGGCGAGTTTTCTAGCAGATCTTTGTGCGTGTCATCATATCCTATCCTAGAACTTTTGCGCAGTCTTTTTTCTTTTAACAGCCCACGGTCACTTTCTGAGGACATCTCATTATACCTTCAGATAGTTATGTAAATAAAATCTCTCTTTACCACCAGCGCTTTCAAGTTTCTAAAAATTAACCAGGCTGCTCTTCTTTCATGAATTTACTTATCACAATTTCTTTAAATTCCTTCATTCTACCTAGGGAAGAAAAATTATAAGTAGTACAACATTTAAGCTTGCGAAAGCAAATATATACTTAGTTCTAAATTGTCTAAAAAGAATTGAGACAACAGTAACACTTATCTAATTTTTTAGCATGTTTCAAAAGGTGATTGGGAACCTTTTGGTCACAGTGTGTGATAAATATATATACACACTGCGTGTACATATATATATAT